AGTTGAAGTCCACCCATCGTAAAGCGGCTGAGTTTGAAAAACACTGCACTACGCAACTGGGCCATTGCTACTTAGTCGGCAGATCTTACTTTTAAAAAATTATTGTTTTAGCGAGATGTGTGAACACCAATTCAGACTGAGCCGACGCTAAGTGATAACGTTTCTTAGTTATGGCTGCGTACAACCTGGGAAGGCTGTCCGTTGTGGCTTACTCAGCCAACCATGGTTTCGGAGAAACCCGCTCACAAACATCTGTTAGAAGAGATGACTGGCAGGCTTCAACTATCTGAAGGGTTGTCCTATCAAGGAGGCTGGCAGATTTAATCTCGGTCGCCCCAGAGGGCAGGACCAGAACCCAGGTCCAAGAATTGTAAACCAAGAATTACAAGACTCAGTGTTTCTCAGCCTCCTCAACTTGAAGATGGGTGGACTTCGACTCCCATGGCTGGCCAGGGAATTCTGGGAGTTGAAGTCCGCCCATGTTCGAGTGGTCAAGGTGGAGAAGCTGGGCTAGACATTGGAAGGAACGTCCTGCAGAACAGGCTGCCACATGAAATCTGATGCCTTTAAACATCTGTTGAAGGTGCTCCCAAGGATCTTCCTAAGATCCTTCTAAGCACTGTCCCAGCCTTGGATCACACGTGCCATAATCATGCAGCCGACCCAAACTATTTCTAACCTGTTACCCAATGTGCACCATTCACACGATTCAATTCAGCCCACTGGAGTTGGGCCGCCAATACACTTAAAAGTAAGTGTAGGCCTCACCAGGGCTTAGCGCGTGTGTCAGCCCGGCAGTTCAAAAACACGGGTGCACCTACAAGGCGTCATCTTTTTTCAGCCAGTGTTTTCGAAGTGTTGGATTCCAAGTCCCATAATCCCCAGTCAGCATGGGGGAGTTCTGGGGATTGTGATCCACCAAATCTGGAGTGGGGGACTGGGAAGAGGTGTGTGCAAAAAAAAACAACACAATTTTCACCCCCGCAGGGTAGGTTCACACACCTGGGTTGCAATGAAGTAGGGTGGATCCTGGTTTGCTATTTGGTGCCCCCCCCCGCTGTTGTCTTTCTGGGTTGGGGGAACCAGATCACAAAATGAGTGTTTCCTGGGCCATTTATTGGGGTCCAGCATCTTGTGGGAATCCAGCAACGGCATTGTGCTAAACGGGTTAAAACGTGAGCAGAGCCTACATAACGTTGCTCCTGGTTTTACAGTCCTACATGTGCGACAAAATCAGGTTTGTCTGCATGGGGGGCCCTGGGTTGCTCCCAAGGTACGAGGCCCTGAGTCGGCCAAAAACGGGTCCCAAGACCTTTTTTTTTTTAAACGTTCAGTGAATGTGGTGGTCTAGTGCATCGCCATCTAAAAGCCAAGCAAGAATAAGGTTCAAAGGGAGGAAAGTGAATAG